AGGTAGTGCCAGTAACTTTTGATGGCAGGAGCTTGAGATTCTGTTGTGGGTAGGTGGGCCCTGCTGCCGACGCGCTTGTGGGGAAGGGCTGGTCAGTCACACACGTGAGGAAATTGTCTCAAGGTATTGCATTCCTTGGGCCGGCACTCTGCATGGTCACATGTGGACTGCTGACATCGAAAGGTGCTGCAGGTGAGTTAACAGCTCAGCAGGAAAAGAAACTGAAGAGTTGACTGGAAACTCAAAAGATAGACTAGGAACAGCTGAAGAGGGCAGCAATGATGTTGGAATGAGACAAAGAGTTGGATTGTATGTGTTGTTGCTTGGCACCCTGTTGGAGGCAACTGTTGCTCTCCAAACTGTACAACTGAGTGAATGCAGTACTGTTGGCAGTCCAAACTCAAGGCTCTACAGGGTGTGCCCCCTTGTGCCTGATGTGAAACTTCACTTGTGCGTTGTTCACTCTTCTGTCCCCTGTTGCCTGCTCTGCCAGCATTGTGAGGACTTATTGTTACCTGTCGTTGCTGTGCAGCATTGCCCACCTTTGGTGTCGGTGCCTTGGTGGGGTTGTTGTCAGTGGCCTTCGCCCTTGGAGCATGGTCAAGAGCAGGGTTGTACTGCAACCACCAGGACCTCTCCTCGAGATATGCAAGTGCCCTGCTTGGCATTAGCAACACAGCAGGTGCTGTGCCAGGCATTCTGGGTGTCTGGAGCACTGGCTACTTGCTGGATCTTACAGGATCCTGGCCGTTGGCACTATTTTACCCTATCGCTGCCTGCCAACTGTTCGGGCTGTTGGTTTACACAGTCTGTGGCAGCAGCAAGAAGCAGCCATGGAGCTGAGGATTGGTACGTATGGGCTGGCAGCCATTGGACTGGCTCAGCTTTGACTCAGCTGGGCTGGCGTTTCCAGCGGCTGACAGAAATGGGGATGTCGAAACAAGGTTGTCCTGGCTTAAAGATCCATTCTTTCGCCACGTGTTTTCTGGCGTGTGAAGTTTGGGAGTGCAACGAGAAGAATTGAATTCGCTTGTTGGGTGGAGAGTGCACGCCTCTGGTGGGGGAGCGTTTACTATTGGAAGGCGATTGCTCATTTGCCTGTTGGTTGGAGGACACTATGCAAGTCATTTTGGGGCCATTGCTGAAGACAGGTACTCAGCCAGGGAAGCAGCGGTGCTAGGGTTCATCTTCTGGAGAGAATACCTGAGTGGTGTGCCTGTCGAATGCACTGGGAGGAGAATTAATTCATATGTATCTGTTGGGGTGAAGCTGCTGGCGTGGTGCGGACTTTGAGAATCGTGTAGATATTCTTTTTCTGGGGAGCATTATTTTGCTGTTGTTATTTCAGAGATTTCGCATGCTGTTGATGGTAGTCGGCATCCAGGAGATTGACAGCCCGTTGGCGATTTTTGCTCTGTTGCTTCGATGGCACTGGGTCCATGGGTGCAACACATCTTTACCTCCCCCTGCTACGCGACAGGGGCACGGCGTGGGAAGTCAGAATTTTTTAACCCTTTGCTCTGCGCCTTGTGGCGCTCGCATGCTTTTGGAAACGGGCGAATGTGATTTGGCAGCGAGGATCATACATCGTGCGATCCCTATCTGTAATTCCTGTACGTTCGTGAAGGTTTGCTGGGCTGCAAGCCCAACTCGGGGTCGGTGGGGTTTTGCAGGCGACCAAAGTGCATTTTCTCCCAACCGATCACGGGGACTCCCGGGAGATCTTGTGGCCACTTGCTGCGCCAAAATTCCAAGATTTAGTAAAACCCGCAAGCCCTTTGTCATCAGTGATTCGCGAAGCCCCCGCAGGTGGTCCAACATGAAAGCACTCCTCTGCGAGGTGGGCCGCCAGCGCCCAACGAAACCTAGTCCACAGTTCAACCTGCCACACGCACACATCAGACCTCGCTGCTTTCGACCAGATCAATCCCAACGGCTCCCATCAGCGCATCCCGGACAGCGTTTTTATCCACAGCCCCAACTGTGGTGTGCCTCTGTCCCAAGAGTGGCATACAGGATAGCACACTCACAATGCCCATTTCGACAGCTCGCCTGACACCGAGAGCGACTCTCCTCAGCGTAGCCGAGCCAGCACCCAGGGATGTGCTTGTCCAGGTCCGAGCAGCCCGCACAAAGCTTCAACGGCACAACAGGCGCCGTGCCTGTATTTGCGTCCGTAAGGAGAAAGGGAGCCTGAGCCTTTGCGAGGAAGGCGAAGCTACTGTTGTCCTCTCCTCCGCTGACGATAGCCTGGCGCCGCTCCCGGAATCGCGACGAACTACTGCGGACTCGCCAGCCTGTGACCGAAATCCCCTGCATGGCACGGGCAAAATGGAGCAATGCATTAAGGAAAGTTCATCACAACTTTGAGCAGCTCCATGCGCTGCTGAGGCGTGTCCCGCCGGAGCAATAGATGCGGATAACGGAACTTGCGGTAGCTGGGAGGCGCATGGTTTCTGGGCAGCTCTGTGGGATGGAATGCAGCATTCAGTTTTCGGTGGAGGGCGGAGTCAAGGCCGCTATGCTCATGTGATTGATATAAACGCGCCTTGCCTGTCAAATTCCTGAGCAAGTGTTCACGGCGGGGTGCCAGCAGCTGCATTATATTGCAGTGCATTCGGCTGACAGCCAGCTCGTCCAAACGAGAAAGGGCAATTTGTGAAAGTATGCGGTTATATTACTTCCAGTTCATTGCCTCCAATTCATTACTTCTGAGAAAAACTTTAGAGTGTTTAACGATGAAAATTTCACCTTGGCAATAATCATTTTAATATTTCAATGGGTGGGCCTTCGCCATGTAGACTCCGCAATAATGAGATTGAGAATGGTCGTCACAAAAGGTGCGACCCCATAAATCGCCCTGACTTTCAGCGGCGTGCAAAACTAACAATAGAAGAAATCAGCCAGATTTGCTTGGATCCGTCCGCCCGGCATCGTCCAACAGGGGAAGGGGCGGCGCTGTTTCATGTTTTGACAAACGTACTTGATGAAGATTCATTGGGACAATGCGCACGCGTCCAGTCAATTTTCACATTCAAATGGAATAAATGTTGCGCACGAAGGCAAGATGGTGGCCATTGGGCCCTCTGCGCCACACCACAGGCAGCCCAATCGAACACTCCCCACCGGCGTCGCTTGGCGCAGGCGCGGCGACCGGCGCCATTCCATTCTGGGCGGACAGCGGCCCTCCGCCGAAGCTCCCGCGATCGAAGTGCTCCGCCGCCGGCGCCCGCATGGCCCCGTCCCGGTTCTCCCTCTGCCCGCTGTCGATGCTGCCGTCGCCCATCCCGTTGGCCTCGCCCGGGCACTCGCTCACAGGTGAGCTCACCCTCCTGGCCTTGCTCCTCGTCTGCCGCACGCACGGCTCTAGCGGCCGCGATTTCTCCCGGCGGCCGTTGCCGCACGCCCGCCCCCCCTCCCCGGACACCACCTCCTGGACCGGCGTCAGGTTGCGCTCCTTCTGCACCTCCTCCTTGACCTCCACGACGCAGGCCTCCTGCTTCACCTCTATGGCCCCCTTGTCCTGCGCCACCTGCGCGCCATTTCCGGCGGTCGATTCAATGTCGTCGCCGCGCAGGGGCGTGGTCCTTGGGCGCTTGGGATCGCCCTGGGTGGGCGGGAGCGGTGGGCTGTGGTGGCGGGCGGCCACGCCGTTGCCCCTGGCGGGGCGCTGCGCGGCCGGCGAGGTCGGCGCGGAGGCGCCCTTGGCGCTCCTGGCCAGGCAGTCCGCTCGCGCGGCGTCGCCGGAGGCGTCCAGGGAGGCCTGCCTGCCGTCGAGGGCGTCCTCGGCGACCATGCCGCCGTCCCCTGCGCGGCGTCGCCGTTGGAAGGGCCCGTCAGTTGATGATCCTTCGCTTGCGTCGCAAATTGCGGCAAATCCCGAGTTTTGCGCCTCTTTGGAAAGGTGGATACGCGCTCAAATCCCGTTGCAGGCACGACATCTTTGCAATCGGTTGGCAATATGTTCGACTGGCACAGTCAGGACCAGGACAGCTCAGTGCTGGGTCTGGGGTTCGGTAGCCTTTAATTAGTCGTCTCAGCAACCATTGATGACTAGCCAATCAGATTTTCTGCTCTTTGAAATAATATCCACAGGGCCAAGAAAGGGCCCTGCAATCACCCAGGTCTGGGGGCCTCCGAAAAGAGGGAAGCGGGACACGATTCCATCAAGCTGTTCAGGGAGAGTACTGCCAGTAGAGTCAGTCATTGCTGTCTGTCTCTGCTCACCATCTGAGATGTCGAAGTCAGGAAGCGGCAGATTCAGGATGTTTGTTGTCTTGACGCATGGCTGCCTATGCATTGGCATGCCTGGAGCACATCGGCAACATCACACCTGAGACACCACTAGGAGGTTTGGGATGCGACACTGGATATGGAGAAGTCAAGATCCATGCCGATTCCCTCTTCTCGACCATTTCAAAAATCAGTGATGTGGAGAGTTTGGCGCCATTTGTGGAACACCCCATTTGGTGAGTACCTCTTCCGCCACTTCCTGACTGTGGCCGTGGCATCCCATTCCAAGACCTGGGCCCGGAGCTTTGTTGTGGATACTGGGGGTACATCTGTGGCCGTCCCCAGTACATCCTCGGATAGCCCATGTAGCGGGACTGTGGGTGTGGGGCATAGCCATAAGGCGCGCTTGAGGCACCAGGAAACATTTGGGAAGGCCCCTAACACAACAGCGACACCATCCTGGAATCAGCAGTGGGAGGAATTGACTCGAGGTGTTGGGATGGATCAGATCAATGGAGATGATCAGTGGGCACACGCAACCCCCCCACATTCCATGGTATCTTTTACTTATGATGCACTCAGAGACTTCCACGTCATCTTTCACAGAATAGGGAAGAACTTTTCAACAGGTCCTGCTTGGGAGGGTGGTGCCCCTTGGGACGCTATGGCACTTTCTGGCTCTACTTCCAAAATTGAGACCAATAGGAAAATGCATCATACAAGGGCTTTTGTTTAGGAAAGGCTGCCTTGAGTCAGCGCAGGAGGGGGGCCTTCCTGTCCACATGTTGCCCACCTGGCAGGGCACTCGGTACTGCATGGCCACCCTCTGAGAGCTTCGTGCGCCTGGCTCAGTGGCATGGCCAGACCCTGAGGCCCGTCCACCATTGGGCGTCCATTGCACGGAGTTGCTGCTGAAGCGTGGCATTGGCGTTGGGGGTCGCACCTCCTGCCTGCAAGTGAAGAGCAGCCAGCTCTCACTCCTTCCAGGCAAGCAGGGCTCGGGTTTGGGCATGTGTCTATTGCTGATGCCCCAGGGCAACGGGGATTGAGCTGCAGACATGGCTTAATGGGACACAACGCAGTCCCACCTGTGAGCACTTGCAGACGCACGTCCTTGCCAGCTTGATCGGGACGCCTCGTAGCTTCCTGGATGGTAACATTGTTGGTCATCTTCGGGCGTCTTCATGTCGCCAGAGATGGTGTGCCCAGTGTGCGACCCTGTGCCATAATGGGCTCCCAAGTTCAAGGCCTTGCCCATGATTCTCGCCTGCATGTGACCATCTTCGAGAACATCCCCCTCCTGGTCCAGCCATGCCTGCAGGCCGAACGTTCCCTCTGCCGACCTGCATGAGACCAGCAGATGGTTGGACAGTTCAGCTATCCATCTGCGGGGTCCGAATGGTGGCAGGATGACATGACAACAGACTGCAGGGGTTGCACTGCCTATAGGGGGAGCATGAATTGGCAGTTGGGCAAGTAATAGTGAAGGGCATCTTCATTCACTGTGTTGGTCACCTTGCAAATTGAGAGCCTCCTTGGACAATGTCGGCTGTGAGACATGTTTCAATTGTGGCATCAGTCCCCTCGGGAGTGGGGTCAATCATGCCTTTGTTGCACGCTCGTTGGGCAATCTCTCCTGTGGATCAGTTGAAGTCACTGAGACCAATCCGAAATGGCATGGCTGCAGGCAGGCTCCGCCACTGTGCAACTTGCACTGCTAGGTAAGGACTCAGCTTGGATCAGCAGGTATAGATAGGTCACCCGTCGATCCTTGCCACGCTGAATCACAAGTGGTTGCCTGTCACACGAAAGGGCGTTTTGAACCAACCTGGTTGAAGGAATTGCTGAGCTTGGCGGAGTACTTGTGCTGCAGCGTCCTTGATGGAAGCCCAGGAAGGGTCACAGGACTGTTGGATTTGGGGCACAAGGTCATTCATTCCCACTGACCTGCACATGCACAACACAGGCAGCCCTCAAACACTCACATATTTGTTGTGTCAAACAATCGGAAGGTTGATCAAGTAGCTGCAGCTCAACGCCTGCCCAAACAGATAGTCTGAGTGGTTACAAGGCCTAGTGTGCGAATGCCCCCCGTCGCGCTTGCTGGATGTTCTGTGTGCGTGCTTTTTCTTGCGTTGTTCTGCAGTGTGCTTTTTCGAACTTTGCTAGGACTCCGTGGTTGTGGATGGGAGGTGGGTCCTCGGGATTCACTCTTTAGGCTTGCTTCTAGTTTAATGTTCCGTGACACGTTTGAAGTCCAACAAACCCTATCGGGCGTGAGGTGAGGTCTGGCTCAGATTCTCGACGTTGCGATCATCGCGGACGGCACCTTTGCGCAAAGGGCACGGATCTGGTTGGGTCGGGGCTGGCGCCCACCCCAAGGTCGCCCGCGCCGTGGCTCCTCTTGAGGCCCCTCCTGTCGCTGGTCGTGGAAGACATCATGCCTCTCTGCGCAAGACCATTGCCCCCGACTCAAAGCAAGCACCCGGCTGATTTTCACCAAGTGCGCCTTCACGCCAGGAGCGCCATGCTACCAAGGTCCGCGATCGTCTTCGCACAGATCCAAGAACAGGCGGCGCAAAAACAGCCCTTTGAGAGGTTTCGCACGCCCTTCCGCGTTCGATTCCCAGTCCGACAGAATTCCAGAATGGGATTATTTGCCGCCAGCCGGTTGCCCGGCTGGCCGCCCGGATGCCTTCAACCCAGCGGTGCAAGGCAGGCAGCATCTACCAGGCCTCTCCGCGATCGCTGAGCTCCCACGCGTGGCTTTGGGGGATGCGGCTCCACCTCCGGGTGTCCGATGCCTCCCGCACGGCCGGCCCTGCGCGCGGATGTTTGGGAGGGCCCGCTCGGGCCCGACGCCAGAAACTGCTCCGATGGCGCCCTCGCCACGCCCCGCGCTGCCTGTGCCCGTCACGCGCGGGCAAAGGCAATGCCCAATCCGGCGCCCCGGCGAGATCAATTGGATGGATCCGATCCCGCGCCCCCACCTGGTTGCTGCCAGCGGCGACGATAAGGACGAACGAGCGCCGCTTTAGCTGTCGGCTCCGATTGGCGCGATCGCCATTTCGAGTTGCGGGGCGCGAGGTTGGCCGGCGTGAACAGGGCGCGCCCGACGGTCGAAGGAGGGGGGGGAGGCGGGAGGGGGGCGAGGGTGTGCCTGACGCTGGGCTGCGGGAGGCACGCGCATGGAAATGGAGACGGTCCCACGTTGGTCGTTGTCGCCCGCGTTTCTGGCAGTCAACGTGGGCGCTGTCCAAAAAAGCGACATTTGGGGGGATGGCCGGGCTCACCGTATTGGGTTGGTGGCCTAGTTAAGTGGAGGGCGCGGGTGGCCTATACTGGACACACAATGCCGATAATCTCGCCACTTGGTATTGCCTGGGCGTGCCACAAAGGCGGGGTCGGAAGAATGCGAAAATGCGTTCAGGAGTGGCACTAGGAGAAGTGCGGCGTGATGTCTACTGAAGATGCGCAGATAGCTGCATCTGTTGCTGAATGAGTTTCGAAGCGGCAAATAGTCCATGTGCTGTGACAAATGTCGCAAAATGGTGGGAGAAAGTTGCACAATTTTTGGACGTTGAGTCGTGGCTTACGAGCTGGCATGGACACTTGACGGAACCAGCCCTGTGGTCCACTGCCAGGAGCCCAAACATCAGGGCAAACTTCAGTCCAGTTCGCCGGGAGGAAACTGTTCAGGAAGGTTCAGCGGCAATTCTCCCGAAAGCTTTCAGATGCCGCTCAGAAAACAATGGGGAAACACCCTCCACAAGTTCGGCCGAACAAGCTGAACCCCGTGGACTGCGCCGCGCCCAAACTACTGGCGGCCCCAAGGACCCATCCCGCCACCCCAAACCCCCGCTCCCCCTGCTGCCCATCCGCAAACCCACACCAAGCTGCCCACCCGCGGCAGTGGACCCCCGCACGGGCTGCCCCCAGCACGATGAGTCGCTCCAAACGCGGCAGCGTCGTCTACGTGGGAAACCTTCCAGGTGCGCCATCCGCCGCACCCGCCCCCACCACAAGCCCACAGAGTCGCGACCTGACCTTTAGCCGCCGCTCCGCAGGGGACATCCGCGAACGCGAGGTCGAGGACATGTTCTACAAGGTGATGAGGGAGTTTGGCGCTCGGCCCCTGAGGCCCGCCGCCCGGCGCCTCTCGTGATTGTGGTCGAGCCGGGGTGGGGGAGGCCATGGCTTGGTTTGGCGGCAGGGGAGCGTGTCGCTGTGCTTAAGGAGGCCGTGCTGTGCGACCCTGCCGTTGCTGGCGGCGCGGACGGCCGCAAGAGATTGATAGCCCGTCGCATCGCGTCCGCTGGCTGCGGCTAGGTGGCGGCCTGGACCGGCCGTCGGTTGTTCGCGCAGGCGGGGCTCCTGCAGCGCGTGGCTGCGTGCGCCTGACCCGTGGAGGTCCCTTTCTTGCGAACAGTACGGTCCCATTCGCGCCCTGGACCTGAAGACGCCGCCCAGGAAGCCCGGCTTCGCCTTTGTGGAGTTTGAGGACCCCAGGTGGGTTGGGCGATGGGGTCGAGCGCCCCGCCGTGCGAAATAGGCACCAGCGGCCGGCCCCCCACTGGGTTCTGGGAGTTGATGGCAGCAAGGGCACCTGATTGCATTTCGAGCAGGCGCTGGAGCCATGTGCTTCTGCCTCCGGAGCGAGCCTGAGACGGCTCCCTGGTTGTGTCTCACCGCTTTGAGAGGTCGCGGTTTGTGGCAGGGATGCCGAGGACGCCGTGCGAGATTACCGCGGTGAGGACGGGCCCAACTTTCAGGGCCACCAACTCCGGGTGGCGTTTGCCAGGGGTGGCGGGCCACCGCCGCCGCCCCCGATGAGCCAGCACCGCGGATCGCCCTACAGGGCGATTGTGAAGGGCCTCCCAAGGTCGGCCAGCTGGCAAGACCTCAAGGTGAAGCTCGCCTCCCGGCCAAGTGCCGCTGTGACGCGGAGGCCACCCGTCCGGTAGTTGAATGTCAGGTGCTGCAACACGGCCCTGGCTGGCGTGGCCAGCCTGGCTCTTGTTGCAGTTCTTATTAACACTTCTACTGTGCTGTTGCACGCCACAGCAGCGAACAACTACAGTTCGCATCCATTCCTTTCTGGTTGTTTCGGCGAGTGTTGCCACGGGAAACCATTGCAAGTGCTGTGATGTGCTTCAGCACATTTGTACACAGTGTTGTCAGGCTGGCCAGACCCTGACGTGCCGGGTCCTGTGTAAGAAAATGGTGCTGTTTGGTGGGTTTTGCTTGCAGCACTTGGAGGTATCAACTGCACTGTCATTGGCTTGGACACGGCACTGTTGCGTGTCTCTGCTGCCTGTGTTCTCTCATTTGCCTTTGTTGTGGGAGAGTAGAACCGCTAGCAGTGGTGCCCCTTAGCAGCATCACAATTGTTTGGCTTGGCCACAGCAGGCATTGGTTGTGGTCGGGAATTGGCCTTGGAGGGGGACTGTGGGAGTACATTGCTGTCGATCATGAGTGGTCTTGGTGGAGTGGAGTTGGAGTTGGAGATTTGGAGTTGGAGTGTGGAGGGGCGATACTGACCCCAAGGTATGGTTCCTCTGCAATTCAAGGGTTCTTGCTTGTGGTGACTGCAAAGCACTGCATGAGAGAGGCCTGGGCCTGAGTTGTTTCAAACCAACCCTCCAAAAGTATCCAGAAGTTAGTTCAACAGCTTTGTTGCCACATTGTGGAATCAACATAGTCTATGTGCATGCATCTGGCCCGATTGCACTGTTAGAAACTGGTTCTTTTGGAACTGCGTAAATGGTTATGGGCCTTGCTGGATACGGTATTGGAGTCATCAGTCTTGGCAAGGGCAACTATTGCCATATAACAGCAATGATTCTCTCACTGGTGTTTGAGCAGTTCTTATTGGTGTGTCAGGATCACTTTCGGAGAGTTGTGAACCCTGCTTTCACCAGTGTGTACTCGGAGAGAGAAAAGATATTTGGAGTGGTGGAGTTTGATTCAGCAGACGACCTCAAATACGCAATTCGGAAATTGGACAATACAGAGTTCAAAAACCCGTTTGACCGTGCGTACATCCGGATCCTGGATGACAGCCGTGGTCGCTCTCTGAGCCGGTCACGATCACGAAGCAGGTGAGCATGTCTCAGTGCACCCTTTGCCTTTGGTTGCTGTTGTGTTCAGCTCTGGCATGGGATCTGCCTGCAGATGTTGTGGCCTATTTGTTCCATTCTTGGGCTGGCAAAAACTGCATCCTTTGTCAATGTACCAGTGTGGATGTAGGTGAATGATCACCTGTCAGTAGCTTTACCAGATCTACAGTTACGCAACAGCGCTTTGTTGCACTGCATCGACTCCTTTATGCACCACAGAAGTGTGTCATGTGCCACATGCTCTGTTGCTTCATAAGGGAACTGGCGTAATTTTTCGAATGCATTTTGTAAATATTCAGTAATCGCTTCCATGTGAGCTTAGCCAGCGGGCAAACAGGCTAATAGAATCTCTCATTGGCTGGCTTCCATTCTGCACAAAACGTTGCAACACAAGTCTTGTGCAAGGTGATTGACGAATTTGAACGATGTGGTGTGGTGAGTACTATTGGCGGTAGCGATTATCTTAATTTTGATGCCCTGCATCACATTGACGTTGATTGGAAACTCTGTGACATGGGAACAGTTGTTTCATTGTGAAGGAACAATATTCCAGTGACGGACCTGCAATTGCTGCTGCAGGTCCCCGCCTCCCAGACGGAGGGGCAGGAGTCGAAGCCCTGTCAGGAGCCGAAGCCCAGTGCGCCGCAGCCGCCGGACCCCAAGTCACAGCCGCAGCGGCAGCAGCAGACGCAGTGCAAGCATGGCGAGCAGCCACAGTAGGCCCAAAAGCAGGGAACACTCCATGAGTGACAGGCGCTCCCGCAGTGAGGATGGTTGAGGAGATCGTGAAATATGGAGCACATGGGTGCCACTGGTCAATGGTACCCTTCGTTTCAACTGAAATCGCTTGTTTGAAGGGCATTTTTCTTGATGGGTGAGGGTCGTAAGGTGATGATCTGTGGATATGCGGGCTGTGTACTGTAGTGCTCCGAATTCCTGACGATGGGCGTGTGTCAACTTGGGACACATAGGTATGGGACAGTCCAGTGGGATGTTGAGCACAAGGGGGTGGCTTACAGGAACTGCAACAAGGGGTTTGCATGGCAACCTTGTTTGGAAAATTTGGTGCAAAATGGTATTGCTCCGTAGTGCTCAAAATATGGGTAGCATGTCTTCCCAAGCTTTGATAAGAGCAGCAGGCATATTGTGTGGCACTCCCCAAAGGTGCAGCAGAAAGCCGCCTGCTGTAGAGTCGCCCATAATATGCAACAGGGCGAAAAGTGCTTCGCAGCCCGCCTCACTTCCGCTCATGCTTTGACATGGTGCCTGTAGCTGTTCATGTTCATTATCCATTCAAAGATTGCATTGTCATTTTTGTCAGCTATTTCTCTTGGTGTCTTGTCGCATGTTGAGTGAACAGGGTGTATCCTTATGCACCAGTCTGATGTGGTGTTGCATCACATATTAACCGCGTCCATGTGGGCGCATCTTACGATGGTCCAATGTTATCGCTGCAAGGAACGAGCCACCGGAATTTCATTCCATTCTTGCTCCTAGTTGCCTTCTTCACCTGCTTCACCTTTTTCCGCTGTGGCTGGACGGTGCCTCTGAACGTTCTTGTGCTCTTCGCAACTGCGCCATACTCGCAGTGTGGCCCATGATGCCCGTTCGTGCTGCTCGTTGGGGTGTGCGAAGATTTGTGACCGATCTTCTGTTAATTTGCGCACTCCCATCGTCTACACTAACGAGGTGGGCTTTTAAACACATACCCTTGAATCCTAGACAGTAAGCCAGAGCATTTGTTGTGAACTATTTGGTTTGAGTTTTCAGCAAGCGCCACGGGCTCCTACCTCGAGGGCTGCATCAGAATCCAAAACGAAACCACGTCTTACCACAACACATCGCGTTTGTTTGGACACAGTGCACAGAATGCAAGTGCCACCTGCAAGTGTTGAAATCTGCGAGCGGCTTGCAGGTTGAAACACACCGACCCAGCTCCCCGCGCCCATCCAGAGCTGTCTTCCATCACTTGAGTGTCCGGAAAAGGAAAGCCCGCTTCATGCGACCGAATGGCAGCAGCCCGAGGGATCTCACAATAACGCCGATTTTCTGCGACAAAATTAATCCAGAAGGCTCCCAGTTCCTGCCGGCGAGCCCACCAGCTGCGCCTGGCCGCGCTCTTTCTCCCCAGAGGCGGCTGCGGGCCCGCGCACAGCGAGGGGGTGGCGCACCCGCGCTACCGCGCCGATGGACGCCTCCACGGGGTGCGGCCGAGCGGCGGGGCCGCGCCGCACGGGACCAATGATCGGCGTCCCGGCTCTGTCGTCGGGACCCGTCCCTGGGTCGCGCGCCCGCCGGTGGCTTGTACCCCCCATCGGGCCCTTTGGCATCGCCCACCGGGCGCCCACCCGCACGCTCCAAGCAATCACGCCGTGCTGCGCGCCCAGGAGGCGGAGGAGCGTCCTGATCGCCAGGGCCGCGCAGGGAGGGCAGGTGGGAGGGGGGCCGCAGGTGGGATTCACGTCCGACGCCCGCGCAGCGCGGCCTTCTTGCGGCGCGGGTGTCAGACCTTTCGCGGCGCTTTGATTGGGACTCATCCGTATCGCGGCGTCGTGCTGCGGCGTCCGGAGGCGCGCACGTGATGATCCTGGGCCCGCGCACGTGATGATGGGAGCCGGTCCATGCGGCATTTGATCGATGACGGCTGGGGCCTGCGCCCCATTTATGACGCCGCGTCGGGGCGCATCATCGCGTCGCGGAGCTCCTGTAGAGTTTTCGGCTGGCTGCTGGGGAACCTCCTGCGTTGCCGCGCGGCGGACGGTCGAAATGTACTCCATTTTGCGCCCTGTGACTTGCCGGCGACCGGCACTGCTTGGGCCTCCACCACCGCATCGTGGGGAATGAGGGCGCTGTTGAGCGCTGTGCTCAATGCCGGCGTGTAGGTGGTCCCTGAAGTATTCAGGACACCTCGAGAGAAGACCGCAGTGCAAGAGATGGTGTCTGGAATGTCCACCACCATGGCGTACGTGGGAGCAGGTGTCGTCCTGGCGGCATCTGCCGCTTTGGGCTTTGTCGTTGGAGGGAGGGCACCAGGTGGGCCGTGTTGGAATGTTCCCAAATGCCGTAAGGCCCCATCCTTGCTGTGTGTGCTCTCTGTTGTGCTCCTTTCTGCTCTTAGCAAACCAGCACTTGGTTTGGAGCAGGCCTGGGCAGAGTGTGTGCACGAGGGGATCGTCGTGGCTGTTGAGCATGTGGTGTTTTTTCAGTTGTCTTGTTTGTAATTCAAGGGCCAAGAATGTGTGCTCCTCTTTGACGAAGATGCAATTCCTCGTTCTGTGTTGCACAATGCACACATATGTGCAGACCCAATGCTGCTCAACTTTTATCCAATATAATTACATGGGGATGCAATTCCACTTTGCTCGGCGAATGCAGTTGCATGTTGTGGTGTTTGTGCTGCAAGCTGGGTCCTTTCAGTGAGTGTGTTCCTCAATTCTGCACTTGTGTCATAAGGCAGGGTGTAATGGCAGAAGCTGTGCAGAATGGTTTCATCTGGTTCTCCCATTCTAACAGTTAAAATGGTTGAATCGAATAAATTGTGGTGTCTATTTTTGAAGGATGTCGTCAGTTTTTCACCCTTTTTACCCTGCAGTCTGTCTTGCAAAAGGATCATGAAGGCCACACATGTGCAATGCTGTTGAACAGGTTTGGTGGTTTTCAGATTGCTAATGATTTCATTCTTTCGTGGGATGTTCTCGCACCACCTTGTTTTTGAACCTTTTGACCTTGAAGCCAGTGCAAGTGAGCTGCAGCCCATATGCCCTCTGCATCCCAGCTGCACAGATTGTTGTGCTTCTCATGTTTTATCGTGGTTTGCTGTCAACACAGTGTGTGATTGCTGGACTGTGCTCCAGAAAACATGAAGACTGCTGGCAAAGCCCTGGGCGTTGCTGCTGGCATTGGTGGTGCAGCTTTAGCAGTCACAAAGCTAAAGGAGAGCCGGGAAGAGTCTGCCTCCATCGACCTGCACAATGAACTGGTGAAGAAAGGTGACGTGAGTCTTCTAACCAGGGCAGAAGTGGAGGACATTGAGCAGAAGTATGGCATTGACCTGGCCACGACAATGGTGTCAGAAATGAAGATGCTCTATGACCAGTTCCTGGAATCCATGATCCCACCAGGAGATGAGCCCATGACGTGAGTAAACATCTGAACAGGTTTGTAATATTGTTGTTGTTGGGTGGATTCTGTCAACAGACTCCTTCCTGCGAGGGGTTCCTACTTCAGGATGGCTTTCAAAGCCCAGCCTTCCCTTCTATCGCGCCACAGTGATCATGTGCCCCTGCTGTGTGTTTGCTCAGTGTGGCTGTGGATGTTTTGTTGTCCAGTGACACTGTCCAATGCTGCTGGATACAGGGCAAGTTGTCTTGGCTGCTGGTGCTGTAGAAGTTCTGTTGTGGGCTCACATGTGCTCCCTACAAATACTATTAGCCAGCGATCTGTTCTTTTCTTGGTTGTGTTTGTTGCTGAATTTCCAGTCACAGGCAATTACTCAATGCAACACACTGAACCAGAGCACTGCTGACGTCAAAGAGCAGCCCTTTGTCATCAAGTCATTCCAGTTTTGGACTTCACCGAATTCTATTTCGTCCTATTGACTTGTGTTTGTTGCCACAGGGGAATGGAGCCTGGTAAGTTGATTTCCTTCAAGGATGCCCTGGGCCTGGGAGACGAGGATGCAGCTGCAGTCCATATGGACGTTGGACGACGCCTGGCAAGGTCTAGGTTCGAAGTTGGGACCAAAAGGGCTCAGGCAGAACAGCGAAAGGTGTGAAAACCAAGTGCTGGTTTGCTAAAATGTGTTAATGCAGTGCTATGTCTACTGATGGCTACAAGGAGGAAATGCACTCAACGTCATGAAGCTCCTGGAGCTATTCTATGTTAGCGTATTTTTGGTTGATGGACATGTGGAGTGTCAAAGTTTGCTCATGTTGTAACAGAGCCATGTCCAAACTGTGTAGTGTGATTCATCGAGGCCTGCAGCTATGCATCTTGTATCAAAGACATGACAGTGTTCATGTTTATGACGGGACGGCTTTGCATGGGCATCATCGCAATTTGGCCTCTGAAGACCTCTTGATGCTGTGCTGTAGATGTGGGCTGGTGCCAGCCAGCATTTGATCCATTCCATGGCATTCACTGCCACCATGCAGTGCATCTGCCACACCTGACAGAACACGTTTGCACCTAACAGTAGAGGAATTTTCTGTTTTGTAGGCCTTCCAGAAGTGGCTCTACATATCCTATCGTGTCTTTGGAGAAAGAAAAGCTGCTTTCCTTCTTCCCCTTGTTCGAGTTTTTGGGTTAACGCAGTCACAGATCATAGTTGCAAGACGAGATAATGCCAAGGCAATCTTTGCAGCGAAAATCGCAGAGCTGAGCAAAGAGCAGGGAGGTGTGCTGCCTGCTGACAGGTAGGGCCTGCTGTCACCTGTGAGCAATTTCTGGCTTCAGTGCTGCATCCCACTCTTTGCAACGTATATCATTGGCAATGCCAACAATTTTTGTCTCCAAAACAACTGTTCAGAATGCAGACAGTACAGGTTTGCGCTGGGAAGGTGGAAGAAGCAGTGCTCAAGATCACAGACAGGCGTTGCATAGGTCAGATGCAGAGATTTAGCTTGCTGTCTGCGTATGTCACTATTCCAGCAGACTCATTTGCATGACATTCTGTGGGCGCTGCTGGAACACCAGGCTTAGTATTGTAGCCATATATCTGGTGGCTGCATCCAAAGGGACTATACTGTGTTGTGCCTGGAATAGTCATTTCATATGTACAGGACCACTGAAAATAGACAAGGCTGTAGACAAGGCTGACAATGGGCTGTGATAGACAAGGCTTGTGTTCTCAATATGCAGTGTGACAGCAGCAGGTAGCATGTTTGTTTTACTTGTGCTCAAATAGAATGCCAATTTGTTTCTGCTGCAGCTGTCTCTTCAATCATGAACCAACAAATGCCTGCTTTTGACGTTCTTCCATATGTATGTTTGCCTGCTGCACTAACTAGACACTGATGATCACCCTATTGATGCAACATGTACCTTATTGCCACTTGTTGAATGTAGAAAGTCTTCAAGTCATCTTGGAAATCTGCAGTATACAACTACTGGGCGGTTGTCCTGTATGGTGCCTGATGGATTTGCTGTGAACCTGGCAGAATGCCTGTCTGACTTTTGTATTTGATTCCAGAATCTTGCGTCAAATTCAATTTCTTCATGTCTTGGTGGTGTAACCCTGTCGATCCCTTGCTGCTTCAGTTCCCGTTGCAAGTTCTTGTGTGGTGAGCAGGTCTCTCTTTGAGCAGCTCCGTGTGTATCAGCGTGACGTGCAACTTGACGATGAAATGGCTGAGGAAGTGCTGCAGACCTGTGTGAAGGAGCGCCTGGAACAGGGCTTACAGAAGGCATTGGACAACATTAGAACACGAACACGAGTCAAGGACTACTCTCCTGCTATGAAGGTGCCAATGGAGGCAACATTTCTGACTGCCTGATACTTGGCATATGAGCAGATTGTTACTGGGTAGTCGTCACAAGTGCACTGTCTTTTCTGGCTCTGGAGCTGTGTACTACTTGTCCTTTTGATCGCCGTTAGGCTGCAGTGTCGCAAGTGGACAATGTCAGGGGTTTTGTGCTGGGTGACCTCCGGCAGGCGGCATTCCACTTTGTGTCTGCTGCTTGGTGCATTGTTGCTGTGGCTATACTTCCAACTAACTCCTGCATATCTATCATTCTGCCATATGGAGTGTGGGCGATGCAGCGGTACTCGAACCCAGTTTCTGGTCATTACCATCAAGACATATTCATTGTCAGTTTGAGCGTGTCTTTCTTCTGGAGTGTTGTTGGTGTATTTGCTGTGGAAAGAAGGGTTCATGGGGTATCTGGGAGTGCAAAGGAAGCCATCAACCACAACTATTTATCTCTGGCGTCTGCAGGAGATGCGTGGTGCTCTCGAATTCAACACAGCGATGGAAAATCTGGCCAAGGAAGCATCCGATGTCTTGCCGCCTGGGCTGGGTCGAATGACAATCCATGGGGGTGCATTTGAAAAGGCAGCATCTACTGCTGACTTGCGCGACTTGTATCGTGTCTTCCTGGAGGAGAGCCTTGAAGCCACAGGCCAGTTGACAGTGCAGCTGGAGCAAGACATGGATGCCCTCAAAGTTATTCTTGGTTTGGGAACTAAAGAAGCAACTTCCGTTCGTGAGGAAGTGACGAGCACCATTTACCGCCGCCTACTACGAGACGAGGTGCAGAGTGGGAGGTTGGATGCTGCAGAGTCCAAGGCAGCTGTCCTGGAACAGCTGTGCACACGGCTGATGTTCAAACCTGAGAGTGCAGCTCTGATGCACAAGAGCATCTACAAGCAGAAGGTTGAGTCAATCTTGGAGCAGGACAACAAGATCTCTGATGAAGCCGCAGAAGAGTTGCTGAGACTCAGGCAGCTCATGTGTATTCCGGAGGTGAGCAGGTGCATGTGGTTGTGGAGAATGCTGGCCTTGATTCACTTCTTTCTATGCCGAACTTTGCAAATTCTTTCTGTTACCCTTGCTGAAGCGGTGCATTGTTGCAGTTGTAGTGTTCATTGAATGTGGCGTAGCATGCCTTTTATGGAAGACATTATTTTGATTTTGGTATGCTTAGCATCAATGTGACGTTAAGCTCGGACCACCCTCCCCCTCCCCACTCTCCTTTAGCGTCAATCCTTACTTCGATGCCTGGATGGCTCATCAACATTACCTAACAATGCCATACAGTAAGGTTGCCTGTGTGCCGCCCCCCAATAGTGCCCCTTTTTGGCTTGTCACCATTTCTGTAGTACCTTATGCAGCTTCCCTGCGCAGTGGGACCTAGTATTGTGGACACCCGAGAGGTGTCTGGTGGACGGATGCTGCGGCAGCCAACCGTTTCTGCGAACTTGGCGTATCGCAGACACGCGAATGGCACATCTGGTGGGTCCGCTATGGGGCCCGGGCCCAGGGCCTCTTCGGGAGGCCAGGGAAGGTGTGTGCTCTGCGGCGGATCTCCATCTATGCATAGCGAAGTGGGCAGTGCCCGCCATGGCTCCTTGTGGCCGGCGGAATGGAGGGATAGGGAGGGTTGTCCAATGTCATGGCATCCATTTTTTCAACGTGCAGATTACCGCAGAATTGAGGGCCAATAGAGACCAATGTCGCGATCGAGTTTTATGTGCGAGCCTCGCTCTTTTCCTTCGGGATCGGTGGCCAGGAGTGCCTGGCGTCTGAGGCAAGGCCGATTGATTGCACTTGCGGGTGCCAATCAGGGCACCCATGGGTGGCACCATTCGGCGCCTATGGGGGACAGCAATGGCGAGAGTGGAAGGCCACGTTCGGCCTCCCACTCCTGCTTTTTTGTTGTGACTTCTGTGCCGAGCTGTTAAACGCCGCACAGCTGTTGTTGACTGTTGGCACTCGCCCGTGCTGCACCTGCTACTCTGGGCCATGCCTTGCACACAGGGGAGTCCCTGGCTTCGGGCGACCTGCCGCACGTGTGGGGAGCAACGGGGCACGTTCGTTGTGTGAAGCACCGCTTGCAACGATGCAAAGCGGACGACTACACGTGTACGTACTAGTGGGACGTCCATGTGCCCTAGTGCTTTCCACGTGCCCTCGTGTAGTCGTCCGCGAATGGATATCTGCAGAAATGCTCAACGCGAGGGGCCGTTGTCCCACGTTCTCTATGGCATGATGTGGCCCTGCCTGGTTGGGTGCAATCCGCACTCATAGTGCGGGTAATGCTGTGCAAGTCCATGTGATGAGTTGTGACAGGCACCGTGTGACATCATTGCAAGCCCCAAACACGGTGTTCCACTTCTGTGGCACGATGGCACATGGTACACGCTTGCGATGGGTCAATCTGGCATCTCAACAGGCCATAACACGGCTAATGGGTCTACTTTTGCTTTTTTTTGTGTTGGGGAGTTTTATTTTATGACTAAAACTACAATTAAGTGCATTAAACAAATAGACTTTTTGGCGTCCTGGCCCCCGATAGCACCCCCTTTTTGGCCATTTCATGGGGGTGGGGGTGGGGGGCTGCATATGGACAACTTCAAAAGAGTTGAAGGGAAAGAAACAGTCAAAATTGTGGCAATTGCAGCGATTTGAAAAATGGGATGTCAAAAGCGATGATAGCCATTGAGAGAAGCCCAGAAGCTTGGAAATTGATCCGTTCTAAGGGCTACCTGGATGATTGAAAGTTTGAGGCAGGTTTTGCAACAAGTGATGGGCTATTTGCCACTGATCAGTGGCGCTTTTGTGCATCTTCCCACCATAATTTGATTTTAATGCAATAACATAATCTCTTAATGTCAATGGCTGGACCCCTCCCCCCTTAACGGCAATTTGGCGTTAAGCGTACCAAAATCAAAATCAAAAAGTGTCTTCCCTTATAGCGGAGCAGAACTGTTGCTGTGCATCACCATGAATGTGATGCTGTCACTGTCCACCAAAAACCTCTCACTGTATATCAGTATCTGTATGTAGATGTGGACTTGGCAGCAGTGACAATCTGATTGGCCTGACCAACCCAGTATGGGCACCTCCCATGTAGCTGATCATGAGATCGTGGCAAAGAAGATCTTGGCATATACATGCTACTGGTACAACTTCATGCCCCTCTGGCAAGGATATTCGCAATACTGACATAGGGGCATGCTCACTAGTGCTGATAATACATTTCAATAAGACAAGGGTTGTAGTGACACATTTTATGTACTTGCTCGTGTACGAAACCAGGTTGGAAGAGAAGATTTTGACTACGGGATTCTAATTCCTGTGTCATGGTGTCTGCTTCCTGAGCATTGTCTTTTGGCATTGTTGTGCCATTTTGCTGTTTATGGCTGCCTTTCTGGATGTTGCAATGTCCCTTGATGGACTGGAGCTCTTGTGCATTATTGAGAGGGGGGCCAATGATGTGTTGGGTACTGACATATCGCACTTTCGTGTTCACTGAGAAGGCAAAATGCAAGCCAGGCTCATGTTATATGTGTTGAACATAAACATGGGAGCCAAGCTATCTTCTACTTCTGAGCGCCATGGAACTTGACATGCTCCTTTATTCTATACCAGAAAGATGTTGATGAGGTGGTGCAAGAGACCTGTGGAGGTCGTCTTCGAGCAGCTGTTGCAGCTGCACTGGCAGCGGGGATTGACAGTTTTGGATCCGACAACATCGAAGCTGTGAAACAGATCATCGTAGACCTCAGGCTCAGCAAGGAGATGGCCAAGGATGCTCTGGATGAGGCAGCACGGAAGATCTTTATGGATTACATTACAACGTCTCGGTTGAAGCAAAACCGACTCGATGCTGCAAAAGAGCTGAAGAAGATGGTGTTCTTCAGCAACATCGTTGTTGCGCCACTGTTGCAGGAAATCAAGGTCAGATTTTGCACTTATTAGGGGTAGATGTACCCATATTGCTTGAACCTGTGCATACTGTCACATTGCATTTATCACTCATTTGGGCAGGATTCCATCTGCACAGGATTCCATAAGCAGGATTCAACATCACCATGCTCTTGCTGATGGCAATTCATGCCAGCTGTAAGATTTTTGTGTCAGGAAAGCAGCAGAGTGTGGGAATCGATGGTGTTGTGCTACTACTTTCACTTCCCATCGTGCACTGCAATCCAGTTGCTGTGCAGTTCACCCTTAGCATAAAGGTCTCAGTAGGTGTTAGCTAACAGTTGTTACTCTGAAACAGTTGGATGCTTCAGAGCTACAGGGATCTTGCTGGTAATCTCAGAAAATGCTGACAGCACTGATAATTTCCCCAAATTATTGTGTAGAATTTGAGTGTAAATAGACATCACAGTTTAAGGTTGAAGGGGTGCTTGCTATTGTGCCACGTTCCATGATGCGGCGTGCTCATGCAGGGAAAGAGCAAGACTGAGGATATGAGAGATGCCTTAAAGGAGATTGCAGAAGTTGTGTCAAAAGCTGCTGAGGCAGATGGGAAGGAGGAAGCTGACGGGGGTGAAAAGGATGAGACAAATGAGGACACAAAGGCCACAACATCAGAGGACAGCACAGAATCTGTGGAGAAAGGTAGAGTTGGGTGATAGTTGTACCCGCTGCCTCTAGGCATTGCCAGTCCACCTGTGACCTCAGGAAACGCGGATTGGATTGCATGTTGTTTCCTGGGAACACTGCCTGACATCGCCAGCTTGGTGACAGGGCTTGCTTTGCCACGCTTTTGACAAATGTAATTGCAACGGATTTCCACCTCAGCTGGAAAGTTGCCTAATGGCAGCACCAATGCTATGAATGACTGAACAGGTATGGCACAATGATCGTTGAGTATTTGTTTGATGTGCAGACTTTGGTTTAGTGCAGGTTGTTGATGCGGGTTGTGTCCTCAGTGCTGTCTGTTGATGGTGCAGGAGATACCATGCCAAGCACCCTGAACAAAGCACAGAAGGCAGCTGAAAATTTCTCCACTGAGGGGGACTCCCTGCCTTCGGGGACAAAGATCTCTTCACAAAAGGAAATAACACTTGCGAATGACCTGGATGTCAGGGACAGGGTGGACATCTACAGAAACTATCTGCTATACTGCATGTCTGGAGACGTTATTTCCATGCCCATGGGCGGCACTGTTGTGCTGGAGAGGGATATGGACGAGTTTGGAAGGCTGAGTCAACTTGGCGATGTTTTGGGGTTGCCCCCAATGGAGATAATGAAGGTCCACCAGGACTTAGCTGAGCAGGCATTCAGGGAACAGGTAAGTGCTCAGAAGTGTCCAGGATCTCTCTTCTGGGCTCTGTATGATTCTATGCTTTTGGAGAGTGTTGCTGATATCCTCTTTTTCACTGCATTATCGTTGCAGAGCAAAATGTTGCCCAGCTCATAATTGATGTTGGTCACTTACCGCATTCACCCAGTATTAGTAGGCAACCCCTTAGTATATACCCCCATCTTTGGGGATCGAAACCACGTTAGTGTCCATGACCCGGTGTTAGTATCCACCCAAAAACCTCAACAGAAACGAGCACAAGAGGGCTCTTTGGACTCGCCTTGGGGAGAAGAAGCTATTTTTCATGTCTTTGCTTGCGCAGCACTCTTGTTGCATGCCTTCAACGTGCAACAGTTGCTGCAAACAGCGCATCCTATAGTGCGATGCACTTGATGGCTGCAAACTTCACAGCTTAAGCAGCTGATGATTTGGAAGAGGATTCGGAGGGTGTCGATGAGTATTTTGATGGCTTTGCATCAGATGTGGATTTGGACAGCGATTGTTTGTGAATGCGTTTCTGTGTTTTTGGTTGGGATTTCGTAATTTTGACTTGGTGATGTGGCTGTTGCTGTATTGCATCTTGCATTTTTTCAAGCCTATTTTTGGGCATTTCACCGCCTATTTTGCAAATTTTTTTTGTCTACTCCTTGGATTAGGGGGTCTAAACCATGTTAGTATCCATGACCCACTATTAGTATCCACCGCTCAATTTTGGGGTCCAATACACGCCTACTAATACCGGGTAAATACGGGTATATCCCCAGTGGATATGGCTCCCAAATGGCGCATGGCTCCCTTTCCACCTGTTCACAGAAGCTTGCAGGACAGTTGATGGATGAATGGACAATGACCTACAGATGTATACTTTATGATCTGGTGCACGATGAAAGGACGAGACACAATGATCAAAGCGGATTATCTTTGGCTTGGTTGGGCGGTACAAGGCGCAGGCTGCTTGAGTATGATAGCTGGTGCCTCAGCGTTTCGTGTCAGCAGTCATTGACATCTCACCTTGGCTTGACAGTTTTCAAAGTTCTGCTTCTGCTGCAGATCTGAACAGATGCAAGATTTTTGAATTTACTTTCAAGTATGAAGTTTGGAATTCTGACAGATCTCCTTTGCCACTCCAGGTTAAGGGCGCGCTTGCAGATGGTGATTTGACGAAGGAGAAGACTGAGTCTCTAACAGAAATGAGGGAGAAGATGGGTTTGTCAGAAGCAGCTGCCCAGAAGATCATAAAGGGCGTTCAGAATGAGCGCCTTGCTGAGGGCTTGCACTCAGCCAAGGCCTTGGGGGAGCTGTCCTTGCAGAAGCTCCTGGACATGAAGGAGTCTGGCGTTGAAATTGAAAACTTCACTTCAACAGAGTATCGCCTCCGCCTTTTTGAGCAGGAGGTAACAATACTGCCACAGCACTGTCATTGGCAGCATAGCACTGACAGAATCCCTGTGTAGCTCCACTTCTGTTTGCAGATCTTCCATTTGGCACACAACATTCCTCTCTGGACAGCTGTCACCAGATGCAGACAATGAAAAGTGCAATTTCGTATTTGTGTTCATGGACTTGTGCCCACTGCGATTTTGGAGGTGGCAATGTGGCACGCTGTGGTATGCACAAGTACGGAGCATTGTCGTTTCCTGGCCAATGTAATTTGGCAAAGGATTGACACAGTGGCAGCTGTTTGTGGGGGTTTTCTTGAAAGTCTCAGGTGGTTGGATTTGTCGTCAGGCTTGTGCTGGTCTGGTGCTTTGTGCAGATCGAGAAGCTAATGTCAGATGGCCGTGGAGAGCTGGACAACGAATATGCATTTGAAACACTACCAAGCAACCTGGCGCTGGAAGCTGACAAGGTCAGATTGGGGAGTTACGATGTTGATATGAAAGTACTGTAGTTGGTATTCAAAACCTGAAATTTCAAGCTTTCACAGACCTTTTGTTGAGCAGATTTTTACCATGAAAATAGTGTTTGTGCCACCAATTCTGTGGTTTGTCCAGGGGAATATGCTTGAACATGTCTGCCCCTTCAATGGACCATTGTTGGAGCTGTGTTTAAATGCTAAGAATTTAGCAACATTCCTCAACTCCTGCGAGTGGCGTGTGGCTGCCAAGGAAACTTTCACTTCTCAAGCCAATATATGTATGCCAAAGGAGTTTTCCTCGGGCTGAAATCCTAATTGGTAGGGTTGCCTTCACTGAAACCGCAGCCAGGTCAGGCAATTGCCATGGTTACAGCTGGAAGCCGGAACACCCAGGTGCTGCCAGCATTGGGTATAGGCATGTGCCTGGACATGACAGACTGTGGACTTTGGCCCAATACCAACTGAATCATTGTCCACACGTCATGCGACTGCAGGTGCAGGTGTGCCATAAGGTGTTCATGGGCAAACAGGGGACATGTACAATGAAGTTACCTGACTACCCTGGTTTCTGAAAGAATGCACCAATGGCCGGGCACTGACTTTAAAGCTGGGTGCCATCTCTTGTACGAAGTTCAAAGACACACGGAAATCTGGCCGTCCAAACTAACAAATCCCTGCTGACAGTAAGGAAAATGATTAGGCTGAAGATTGATGACGATTGTTGCCACTATCGTCTGCTGTGCAGGCACGTAGTGTCGTGTCGAAGGTGGCGTCAGGAAGAAAGGGCCGGCAGGTGGTGCAGGCTGTAACCGACCTCCGCATGAAGAAGTTCGATGCCGTTGTCCAGGACATCAACAACTACCTTGTCTGCAACCGCATTGTCGGCACAAATGGCAGTGACAATGGATCTACAGTTTGGGACCGCCGAGACGAGGTTCTGGACCTCTACTCGGTTTACTACTGGAAGGTATGTGCGGGCTGATAAAGTCCTTGTGGGGGCCTCCCGACCCACTGTGGATTGTGCACACATGCCTCTCCAACAAGATTTAGAATATGTTTGTCCTTATCTCAAGAAGATTGGAACTTATCAAAATGGATGGCGTGGCCATGAATACCTACTCAAAGTTGTGCTTGTGCCAGAAATGGAAAGAATGCACCCGTAGCAGACCCTCATCTGGCGTTTATTCTGCAGAATCTTTTTGTGGGTGCTGTGTCGCATTGTCCTGTTTGTGTCTTGTATCATCCGCAACCATCTGTATGAAATGGGTTGTGGGGCCGGGCCGAATTCGCCACTGCTCCTGCTGTGAGGACATAGCAAGTGGCTTTGTGTCTGGATTCCCAACTCTCAGGTTCCAACAGTTGAAAGGGTGCTCGATACTGTCTTGGCGCAGAGCATCAAGTCTTTTGTAATGGCTCTTGTAGTGTAGCCAGTGCCAGAGTGATGTCTCAGTGGCACTGTTGGGCGCATGCTCTATGCTGATGTTGTTTTCTTTTCCTTTGCCTTTGTTTGTTGTCGGCATGCGACTGTCAATAAAAAGGAATGGCAAGTCTGTATGGATCAAGGCAGCAATCGATGTGCCGTGTCCCTTTGTAGCGCCATCAATGGTGACAGCCAGCACATGCACATATAGTGCTGCCCAGCCAATAGATCGCTTGGCTGGCGACCTGTTTGATCAGACGATTATTGGAAACACTTGTTCCCTATACTTGCATCAGGTGAAGGACGAGGCGAAGCTGGCAGAGATTGAACGTATCTTTGGAATCTCCCAGTCCGAAGCAAAGACTCTGCGGGATGTCGTTGACTCTGGTGGTCTGAAATGGGCAGAGGAGGTGAAGGATGAGGAGTTCTTTTTCTGAGGGTACCACATATCGTAGCCTGTTGTGGAACCAGCACATTGAATGTGCACCTGAATTTTGGAGCGAGTCACAACGTGACATGTTCGTTGCTGTTGTTAGTCTAGAGTTAGGCAAGCCATGCAAGAGGCACCAGGGCGTGCAGCACATGTGGAGAAGCAGGCAACAGGTGTCGATGTTCCGCATGCAGATATCCCCACGCCTTTTCTCCTGGCCCTTCTTACGCCCCATTGATTTCACAGGGCCCCATTGTCATCACCGCTCCCTTGTACGCTTTGCGATTGTGTTGAAGGGGCGCTGTGGCTGTCAACGAGTTAGGCCAGCATTCCACGCTGGGCTGCTTCGTGCTCTGCTGTTTTACTTGCTGCACTTGATGCTATCATTAAAGAAATGAACTTATCCACAGTGTTGGTGGATTTCTACCATGGGCGATGCAGGTAGGGCTGCTGATGAACATTGAATCGGCTCTCTGTTTCTTTAGGCGCTGAGAGCGTCTCGCCATTTTGCTCAATGACAAGGTGATCTCTTAGGGATAGTGGATGGCATGGTACATGTCATCACAGGCCAGTAGGTCTGTCTAGTACTCATACGAATTCTCTTGTCTGGGAACTGAAGGTTGGGCCTTTCACGGGTATGAGATAATGCAGCTTCCTCCCACGGCTATGCCTACTACCCAGAAGGGTACATGCACTCTCTTCCAAGTCTGCGGATGCCGTGTGGACCGTAGGAGGCAAGGTGGAGCTGCTGCTTCTCGCCAAAGGAGGGCACAGCCGCACAGGAACATCTCCCTTTCTGGGTCGCACTTCTACCCGCCTGAGTTCTTAACGGGGTGCGACTCTTGGAGCCTGAGGGGAGAGGCTCCACTGCACCAGTGGCGTGCCGTCAACTCAAAATGGTGTAACAGTTGATAGATAGTGTAGGTGATAGTGTTGTGGTGTATTAGTGTAATCTACTGATGGCCGCTGAAGCCAGACAAGAATACCGTCCCATCCTCGCCATCTGTGGCGCCAACAGTACACTGTATGCGGCTTTGCTCTGCAAGCACCGCCAACTGCCTATAGCACGCCCTGTAAGGGCAATCAAGCACCTGCTACCGGAAACCGCCTACCCGGAATTTCCGTTTATTGCCCACAATTTCCGCAGCACAAACATACATCTGCCATTAAATTCGTCCCGTCCTGTCCTACCCTTCGACACCTTCAGTTGCCCGTTAGCCAAGGAAAAACATTCACGCCCAATACTAACGAGGTCTTATGCACGTGGCCTATATCGTTGCAATGGAGTGTCAGCTGCCAACGCTATCACCAACCATGGCACATGCTGCCTGTTCTCTGCATGTTGATACAAATCTGCTGTGGACGTTCAACGCCCAAATTACTTCATGAGATCGTTAGAGTTGGAAAGCTGTGTCGCGAGGGGGGACGCCCAGCTCGTGGAGGGTGATCCCGGTGGTGCGTTCCAAGATGTCTGCAAGGCGCACTTCATCGGCCACGATCGCCTCAATACGGGGATAGCCCGACAGCATTCTGTTGCTCCACTGGATGCCTTTATAGAAGAAACGGTCTCCGTCCCTGAGGCACGCAACCGCCCATGTCACAAGGAGGGAATGGAGCGAGTGAAGATGACGGGGTGTGGTTCGCCAGCAAGTGTGTGCAAGAGTGCGGAGTGGAGGGTGCATAAACGCCGTAGGGTCCGAAGAGACACGAAAAGGAGTTCGGGCAGCTAATCTGATCAGATCGTTTCGTTGCTGGCCAGGCATGCGAGCAGTTCTTGGCACAATTTCGACGTAGCGATGGCATGCAGTGATCTGTGGCCACTGTTGTACCCAAAATTTGCATAATTTGCCGCCCACTCCTGGGACCTCCGGGGCATCCTTGCGGACGAAAGGACTTGGCGGTCCACCTGGCACGCATCACCCACCTCATTCTCGTAAATTGGTCCTTAATGATGGTGAAGAACGTTTCTCCAAGCATCGCTCCATCGTGGTGGGCCTCGGCCATCCCGCCGGCAAACGCATCGACCTTATCAATGTCCCCATCGTAGACATCTTCGAGGACGTGCCACACGCTCTCGTCGGGGTTGATTTCGGAGAATTCCTTGTACATTTTGAGGTCGTAGGCATCCCGCAGCTGGTTGAATGATGGTATGCCCATGTCACGTCCGCGCTGGATGTTCAGGGCCACCAGGTCCAGATGTGCCTCATCGGACGACTCCGTGAAGAGGAAGTTTCTCAACTCGTCCACCACCTGCGGAGAGCGAAGGACAATCAGGGGACGGACATATGCGAGGCACTTGTCCGTGCAGGTTTTCCACGGCAGCTAACATCATGAAGCTGCATGTCAAGCTTCCAAGCCAGCTGGCAGTGATGAACCAAAATCGCTCGTCTCCGACAGTCAAAGGCTTGCTGTTCATTTTCGTGGGCCCCACCGCGAACCATGCAAAGCACCAAAAGCATGTGTATTTCAGCCTATTCCTGCGCTTGTATATCTCCTCGTTGATCAACAAGCTTCGTCCCGGCGACTGACTGGAGACGAACCATGGGTGGGTGAGAGCCTGTTGACGACCGCACCCACCTTGGCATCAAGTTCCTGAGCAAGGTGCCATGCCCCGCCCCTCAGAAAAGCTTCGGGGCCGGTCTCTACCACAAGCTCAGGGTTGAAGAACGTCTCGCGGAGGGGGATCAGTTGGAGGTCTGCGTCGCCCCTTGGCCCTGGTCCCTGGGCCCACAGGTAGCTTCCAACCAGGCTGTGCCCGAAGCGGAAGGCAACAGTGGAGAAGACGGCTGTGATGGTGGCGTCGACCTTGCGGTGGTAGGAGTAGTCATCTGGGCTGACTTCCCCTTCCCCAAGGAGGAACGGCAACCACTCGGCTGTTGGCAAAGGCGCAGCAGCTTCAACGACACAGTCATTGCAGCTACAAGTTCTAAAAGGCGGAAGCTCGAGCCCAAGTGGACAGATGGCCATGCTCCAATTCCACAATTTGGTGGGCACGACATCGCTGCAACTGCGCCCAGTTCTTTTCAATACATGCTTCTTCAGTTGTCCTGGACAATCAATTTAGCATGCGGATTTCTTGCTCTGGACGTAACTTGCACTGATGCTGGTGCTTCCAATCACAATCTGAACTCACCCCACAGGATGCTCTGGTATTCCGATATGCAGATGGACTGGGCCGACTTGTACAACTCCTCGTCGTCCATTTCTGGGAACGCCTCCTTCAGCTCATCGCAAATGAGATTGTGCTCCCTGGCCCAGATGGTGTGCAAGCTGAGCAACAACGGTTGCTCGTTCGCCCGGACGTCCCCAGCAGCATAGAAACGGTCGGTGGCATTGGGGGCATTGTCTACCTTGGCTCCCAAGGCATCATCTCCATCGACTTTGTTCAGAGGCAGCAGATCATCTGGTCCCATTTTGAGCTTCCCATCAACAAAGGACCTCAATGCGTTGGCTCTCAAAAAATCATTGCCATACAGCTGCAGACAAAATGCAAACAATTCAGAACGCGCCAAAAGCCAAACAGCTGCCTAAGAATGAAAATTCTCTACCGAAATAAGACAACGCTGCTTTTTCGTACCTGGTCACTATGGCACCACCCACATGACAATGGCGAACATAAGTATGCAAGTCAAGCAGTTTAGATGCTACGTGCTGACAAGAACTGCTGTCCAGCCTTGTTCGTACCTGACCCAAGTCGGCAAATGCAGAATGCTGGTTGATATGCGACACTTGATCAGGGTCGCTGGAGAAAACGGCCCGTTCGAACTCCATGGTGGCATTGGTGAAGAAGAAGTCTTCTCTGGGTATCTCAATGGGGAACTCGTCTTCGGGCCCTGTCCTCCGGCTGTTCTTGAAGCCGGGCTGCGCTTCCTTTCCCAGCTCTGCTATGGTCGGTGTCAGATCCAGGTCATGATCAACGAACTGCCCCCATGCCCAGAACAAGTCCGTCATCTGCAGAGAGTTCGTCAGGACATTGTCGCTTCCTGCACAGCAACAAGTCTGTGAGTTATGCCCATGGCCAAGCATCGTGGCACCCGTTATTCTCCTGGGACAGTATCGAAAAGCAAGTGCTGCTTCCATTGATATAAACAGCTCCGGAGTCTCACACTCTGGAACAAATTGAGTATTCACAAAACCCTCGTCGTGGACCCAGTTTACCTGGCTGTACAATACAAGCACTTGGGTGGAAGAACCAGTTGTTTGTGGATCCACACGCTTGACCACCGAAGTCGATGTCGGCCTCCCCAGCACAAGCATAAACGAGGTTCAGGACGCATCCCTCCTGCTCGCCACCAAATTTCATGAGAATCATCTTCTCCTTGGTCGTCTCCGTACCAACCCAGCTGAGTGTGTGCACAGTCTCCCTTCCGCGCTTTGCCTTGGCTTGTTGGTGTGGGCACACCTCCCATGTGAGGCCCTTGTTGGTTGCCTTAAGGCACTCATTGACTTCTTCGTTGAGTCGACCTTCCAGCAAATCTGCCCCTGGGCCTGCACAGCACCAAAACTGTAAGCGATATGGAATATGGTATGTCATAAGGCTTTGAAGGCAGCAGCTGTATACTACACTTCCACACTGCAGGACAAAATGACGATCATCAGAGCATAGAAAAGCGGCTCCTGCAGAAGGGGTTCCATACATTGGAAGAGATTGTGAAGCGTGCCAGTAGCAGTTTCTGTGTGCAACAGGAACATGAATGGCCAACATGAATAGCATGACAAGATGCACTCTGAGGACTGTATGAGAATGTGAGCCTGCAAGATACCAAGGAACTGTATGAGTATGCTGCGCTAGTAACCTGCTTACTTTGTGCGAACAACTTGTTGCTGATGAGTCTTGGACTGACATCTTTTGGCCCAGACGGCTCGCTCTTGCCGTCAGGGAAAGCGGGGTCATGCTTCTCCAGCCTTAGCAGCGGCTGATTGGCTGCTCCCCACGTTGGATTCTTGAGATTATTGCACCGTGCCTCGATGGTCCTGTCCTCCTTGGAAAACCGGCAGTTCTGCCCAAAATGGTCCTCCAGCCTTGTAATCTATAAAAATGAGACGGCTCACATGAGTTGCTAGCATCGTCAGTATCACGCTGGCACAACAGTGCTTCCTCTTATCCACTGGCTTTTGCCTTTCGTCCTGTGCATCAGCCGATAATCCAAGAAGACTACCAGAAGTGCCAACTTGCACACCAAAACATTGCACATTACCCAGTGTTGTGGCTCCAATACTTGTCTATACTTGCTTGACTGACAACTGCATGCAGTGCCAATGATGATCATTGATTATGGGAGCCGCAGATTAGCATGGTGGCCCCTGGTATCACACTGCAAATTAATCAGTATTTGGTTGTCCCCGATATGGATCACTTCGCTGCACAGAGAACAGGGAATTGCCATTTCTATTTCTCATAGTGTCTGGATTCGTTATGCGAGTTTGGCACAACAAGTCTGTAGCCTACCATTTCAAGCAGAAGAGATCTGACAACAACCACAGCAGTGTCTCGGCTGTTGCCACCTGTAGCAATGGGCCCTCCCCAGCCAACTTCCAGCTGTGTTGTTCCCTCAGTGTCGCCATCAATGGCCCGGAAGAAGATTCGGGAACCACGAATGTCCGTCCCAGGAAAAACATCGTTGCCATGCTCCAGAAGCGTTGCAACATGGAACAGCAAATCCTGCGCAAAGTACACCACAGAGTTTGAGGTGGCTGGTAAGATGAATTAGGCGCACAGCGTTCAAAGGGTTCTATTTTGCAACGTCGCTGGTCTGGCACCGAGCATGTAACACTGCGATTCCAAATCTGCTCACAAGGTGTACTACTGTCGTTTGTGTGCACAGGTGTGTGCTGCTTTCGTCCTCACCTCGTCTGTCTCGACATCCTCAAAGACAAGCTGCTCGCCACTGTTCAGTTCAACCACCCATTCCTTGTGCTCGTCATCTTGTGCCAGGACAGAAAACGCAAGTTCTCCCAGTCCATACGTCAAGAAGTTCCTGCACAGTTAACAAAAAGGATCAACACCGCAGGGCAGTACACGCTTCAGAATCCTGGAAGGAGGCGCCTCGCCTGATTGTGTTCAAGTCAGCGCATCCAGAGAGTTGCGCGACTGCACAGTGCGACCAATGCGGAGTGTGCCAACATAACCCCGGGCTATTCTTCGCCAAATCAAGGGACTTCATTGCCCACATGAATCCCCATGCAGACCAGACAGACAATTGTGAACTAACGTCCAGTGGAACGGTTCCAACCCCGCACCACGCGCAAGGCATGGTTGCGAGGTCTTCACCATCGGCACCTCTTGCCTACCCGTAGGTGCGTGTGCTCTCCCACACTTCTTGCGGCGTCATGTCCACGACGCCGTCCACCACGATCTCCCAGACGCCCGCTGGACGGCCATCCGGCCCTGGAGGCGCGGGGACGGCCACCGAGTCCGCATCCGGCGCGAAGGCGTTGGCGAAAGACGCCCCAACGGGCGCGACGGGCGCGTTTGTCGGCACCGGATCGACGAAGCCGGGCGGGTTGTTCCCCACCGTCGGGCCGTCGTCGTAGTCGAAATAATCATCGCCGTAGCTATAGGTGCCGTCGGGATTCACAGTGACGGTTGAGACACCGTCGCCCACGGCCACCACGTTGGGCGCGCCGCCGATGTCCACCGTGCAGTCCCCTTGGATGGCCCTGGCGGGGTCGCCGCCCGCGGCGATGCAGTCCAGCACGGGCGTCTGTGACGCGGCGCGGTGGGCCAGGGCAACCAGCAGCAGCGCGCAGAGGCGCGTCCAGGCGGGGGCGGCCATGGCGTCGGCGGCTTTAGTTACTTTCTGCACAAAACGCACAGGCGGCCTGGGTTCGGTGTCTTGTGTTCGATGGCGGCGCGTCCAATGCAAGCATATATCAGCCCGTCCGACGCCGTGGAACAACGAGAATGGTGGCGCGACTTGTCCGACGTTGGGCGCTCGCCGTGCCAGCCAGAATGGATCCGCTGGCAGATTGATGCGCCCCGGGGCCTCATCGCCTCGGGCGCGCAGGCGGCACGAGCACCGCCCCCGCCGCGGCGTGCGAGGATATTGTACTGGGGCCGGCGACCCTTGACGTCTCCGTTCGCGACGGTAGCACTCGTCGTTCGGGCCAAAGGTGTTGGGGCGGCGGGTACATCGTCAGCGCGAGCACATCGGGCCGTTCCGCAGGCGCTTGGCAGCCCGCGGGCCACCGCCTGCCGCAGCGGCTGCCCTGCGCGCCCCCTCGCCGACTCTCGAGCCCTCCGATGACAGCAGATTGTGCAATCCACGCACGGCGCCGTCCGATAAAACCGCCTCAAGCATCGCGACATTCTCCTTGCTCAGCCAGTAAGCAGGCAGCGACCACGGAAGCACAACATGCAGGCAAGCCTACTGCACGGGTGGTTGCCGTGGGGCACTGTGCGGGCGCTGTTCGCATGCAAACGACTGCGAGATTTCTTGCTGCCGAGGCCACCGGCAACATTCGCGCTGCTCCGAGGAGAAAGTCCGAGCCGTCGCCAACCAAGCCCCTGACGACGAACGCGGCGTATAGCTCCCGACCCGTTCCACTCGCTGCGCCTAACCCGTTCCGACCCGACCCTGCTGTTGGAAAGGTGTCCCTAAGGGCGAACACCATGCGGCGGACGTCCCCACCTTGATGCACCAACGTCGGTGGCACTCTCTCTTCCCCTTGTTCGTCCTCTGCACGAGGACCCCTTACTGTGAAGCCCCTGTGTCCTGTTGGACACAGTTTTTCGGTGGGAACCCAGCCCAAGTAGCACACCAGTAGGGCTCCCTTGTTCGGACTTCACGGCCAAATACCCTTCGGGCGGCCCCTCTGCCTTGATGTGGAGTACGGCCCAGCGGCCCCTGCTCAACCGGATAGGCCCCAAAGTGCGATACCCTTTCTGGGTTGTACGCACGTCAACGCTGGATTGGTGATACAGCGGTACGTCACGATACTGACATCTCGGGCAAGGTTAACTATCGCCGCCTGTGGCATCCGACAGACTGACGTGGGCCACGGCGTACCTCGCTTTTGATTGCACGCTGATTACGCATCGATTGTACCCCATCTATTGGCATGAAGGAAAGAAAGGGAGCAAATACAAACTCAAACAAACACGAACTAGCGGGGGGGGGGCATAGAGAACGTCCAAGCGATTACAGCCTCCCGTGGGGTTGGTACAGCGCCTCATCAGCCATTCTCAATGCTTTGTGGGGTGCTGATGAACTGATTCAATGGTGGCTCCAAATGGGCTTCCTTCAGCGTTGGCAGGACCCGCATATCAAGCAACGCAGGTGAAAGTAGGTGCTGCTCCGAACGGTCATGCACATGTGCGCCATGCACGACGCCGGGTGTACCTGGCCCCTGTACCCCATTACACCTTCTACCGAACGAACGTCAGTTCAGAGCAGTTCAGAGCAGTCGACTGCTTTGCTCGTACACAAACCGAGCAATCTCACGGGGGACGCGCCAAAGAAACTCGTAGGGTCTGTGCAGAGAGCCCTCCTGGCCCGACAGTGGGTCTTTCATGTTCAAAGCTGATTGAGATGTCTGAACCAATGTCATTTGCACTTATTGGCTTGGAGTTCTGTCCCGGTGGCCAGCCTGGAAATTCGTGAAGGAGTGCAGAGCCATCAAGAATTTTCGTAGTTGCCCATTTCGTTGAAAAGTAGTGCCGAAGGAAAAGATGTCTTCCAGAGACAAATGCCAGCACTGCAGCGATTTAATCACCGTATAACGTAGCCGCTTAGGAAGGACACTATTTTGAATTTATACGCTTAGCGTCAAGTGGACGCTAAGGGGGGGAGAAGTCCAGGCCATGGACGCCAAGAGATTAGGTAATTACACCTAAATCAAAACAAGGTGAGAAGATGATTAGAAACGCAAGTGATCAGCGGCAGACAGCTAATGAACCCCTCACTCAGGTTTTCAATCTTCAAGGAAGTCCTTGATGTGGATGAGCTTGCACCTTTGGGGGCTGGTTGGCTCCCATTGGCTCCCATCGCCTACCGTAGATTTTATCATTCCATTTTTAGACCGAATACAATCGCTAAAACATTTTGCCCTATAAAACTTCTTGAAGCTGTACAACACTGTTAGGTAATGATGTTGAATCGTCCTGGCATGGACATAAGGATTGACGGTAAGGGGCAGGTGAGGAGGGTTGTGAGCTTAGCGTCCATTTGAAGGTAAGGGTACAAAATTCAGAATAGTGTATTCCCGAAACGATATTGAGGGCAAGATCAAGGGAGGAAAGAAACATTTTCAAAAACGTTGCAAGGAAGGCGAAGAAATCTTCATGGGTTGAATGCAGTCGCTGTTACATGTACAGGGATAGCAGTTGAAAGGATGATGGATGATGAGTCATGTGGCATGATATTGTACAAAGCAATATGGAATTCTACACGTTGGGCCTGTAAGTAAGACATTTTAAGCAGGCTTGCTATTTATGCTTATATCACCGTTGTTGCGTTTACGCTTTTACACGTAGAAATGTGTAAATAGAAAAAACGGCCATACTTACGGGCATATTTACACATTTTTACGGCTCAGCGACATCCCCAGGTTACATGACGATGGCCCCAAAAATGATAAGTACTCCACCCATACGAACACTGGCAACACAACGTCCACTTCGCCCTCGGCAATGGCAACGACGCCATTGAACAGAAGGTCGTTTTCTGCACAATTCAATGCCTCTAATTGTCACTACCCGGACTCCCTGAGTTTGCATGTATTGTCTTCAAGTACACAACGCCCACCGTAGCATTAGTCCTGTATCATAGCCCTCCTGGAGAAGATGACCGCATCCACTGCAGTCAAGGCCCAGGAAGCACGCGACGGTCATGTCGCGACCGGGAAGCAGTAGCTCAGATCGCACAGTTGGAGATCGCAGCGGCCTCCGCACAAAAGGAAGCAAGGCGACATGAAATTGCCTTGAAAAAGGCAAAGGACAAGAGCCGAGAGGCCGATGTCGCCCGGGCTTTGGCAAAGGAGCAGGTAGCCAGTCTCAGTGACCAGCTACACAAGCAGAAGGAGCGCGCACGTGAAGCTGAGGAGTGGATCGTGGAGTAGCCCAAGCAACCCGAGAGGATACCAAGTCCGACGGCAGTGAAGATCCCAACGATTCCAGAAGCTCAAGGGGCTGAGGACTGGAAGACCATCAGGCGGACGAGCGCGAAGCACAAGAGCCCCACAGCAGGTGAGGCCTGGAGACAGCAGGCGGAGAGGGCTAGAGTTACGGGCCTATGGGCTGACCTCTCAGGCCATTCGGCCAATAATCCAGGCCCTTCGGCCAATGATCCAAGCCCTGCAGTCCATGTGCCAGGGCCATCGGGTAGTGTTCCCCGCAAACGGGTGAAGTCGCAAGTATGCGTAAAAACCCCGAGCGACGGTGATCGGACCAGTGAGGAGTCGCTCACTGAGAGCGGCCATGCAGTATGTGGGCATAGTCCGAGCAGGCAAAGAGGCCTGGATTGGAGTCCGAGGAGACCGGCTCTGCCGGAGTGGGGACCAAATGAGGAAGATCGGGTAGTAGAATTTGAACCAGACGCCACCAATCCTTACAGCAGGCAGCAGAAATGCCGAGCCGTGTGGACAAGGTTTCACAGTGAACGGCTAAGCGACCTGGATGAGGGCTGGAAAATGGCCTCAAAAAGGTTTGGGATGAGATTAACCACCGCCCAGCTGGTGAGGATCCAGCGGTGGTATGGCCCCGGAATGGCGACTCAGATCGCCCGGGAGGATCCCAATTGGCCGGGAAAAATGGCCTTCGCTTTAAGGCACATTCCCGAGCCTTGGGACTTGAGTGAAGGCAGCCCTGAGAGGCCAGATCCGCAAGACCCCCACGAAAGATGGGAGGAAATATCAGAATTGTCCATCTCGTCCTGTGCAACTCCATTACCGGGAGATATGTCCACCAGGGCACAAGTGCACAGGATGGAGAAAGAGAGGAGACATGCATGCAACCGAGATCGGTTTGCGCGTGCCAAGTAGCTCGATGAGCGAAAAGCTCGTAGAGATCATCGACGGAGAGAGCAAAAGCCTCTGCATCGAAAAAAGAATAAACAATTAGATCCCGAGAAATACGAGCAGAAGCAAGCCTGGAGAAAATAGCAGGAAGCTGATTTCTGTCGTCGCTTCATGTCTGCAGGTGGAACCCAGAAGGCCCAGCGGGTAGAACTAGTGGAAATCATAGATGAACTGGATCCTGCTGCTCAAGCTAAAGCTTTTGGGCAGCTTGAGAAAAGGTCGACAGAACGAGCCCCCTGCGAGGAGGAAATGACTGAAATGAAACCCAGATGGGCTGATAAGTCAAGTAGCGGAGACAGCGGGGTAAATCGCCCAGCTTGTTTTGCAACATCTACTCAGCCTGAGAAGGCCCCAAGTCCGACGGAGTCAAAATAGCCTGAGAAGGCATCCAAGCCCAAAGCGGCAGTGACGAAAGACACAGGTAAGATCTCTGACAAAGTTGTTAGGAGATCTGAGCCTGCACCTCATACCCGAAAGCAGTCCGAATTCGGTGATTCTGCTGGACATGACGAGGTTGTGTATGTTGCTTCAGCAGATCCACCAGCCATTCCAATCCCTCCGGAGCAGCAGGAAATTTTTGCCATCATAAAAAGATAAAAGGAAGCATTGGAAAAGGCCAGAGTTGAGGTCAATCGACAAGCGCAGTTGCTGGCTACCTTGGGAAAGGAAGAGTTTGCAGAATTCATAAAGTTCAAGGAATTTTAGCATGCTCAACAGTAGCAGCAGCAGCAGCAGCAGCCTCAACAACAGGCTCCAACCC